TGGACAGTTCTAAGCTCCTACTCTGTGGGACACACAAATGCTCACAACGTGTCAGCCCAGCCCCACCGTTCCCATGCAGCTTGAAGAACTCTGCGAGTGCCACAGATTCGACCAGTGCAAACCTGGATTTTGCAGGCTTGCATTGTGAGACAACACCAGAGCATCCAGTATCCTGTGGCTTCCCATCCAAACTCCTTCAAGTTCCTCCAAGTGGAGAGTTGCTGAGAGATTGAGATTTGATGATTTATGCCAACACACATCCTTTAAGAAACAGAGCCTGCATGCGAATTGCGTTTGAATTTGTTGCTTCGCTACATTTGTATCCAGGGGACCTGCTGGGGAGCTGAGGCTGATACCTTAGTGTGGTTACTCCTCTCTGCCCACATGTGGTGTTCGGTTGGGTGCGACATGCAAATTCTTCGGAGCACTACGCTTGCACCGGGCTCAGGTTTGTTTGCGTACACAGAAGCATGTGCCCATGCCCCATCTGCCCATCCCCCACCTGGTCCAGCAAGCTCTAAATCGATCAGTTGCATGAGGCCTGCAGAACTCAATCCTAGACCCTAGGAAACCACAGGAGACCGCAGGAATCTTCGAGTGTGGGGACCCAAATCCTGTCCTCCAAAGGGGCGTCATGATTCAAAAGCAGGAGAGGTACGGTGTACATCTCCACCAGTTTAGACAAACTTGCTCCTGGCCGCTGTCCATATTGCATTTGTAGCAGAACCCCATAGTGCATAGGCCCACCGATTGGGAGAGCATGCAATGCACAAATCCTTCGCAGCTTTCGATGGCTCATCAATGCTCTCCCTGTGGTCATCCGTGGCGTCCCAGCTGTGGCACGCCTCGCACCAAGGCCACAGGCGGGAGCAACAAGCCAAAGACCTAGGGCGAAGTGCAGAATATACTCCGCGTAACGAGGCAAACCACAAATCCACAGAAGCACAAGTGCCAAACGATATGCTCGAGTCCTGCACATATCCAGTTTAGTAGTTGATTATGCTTAGTATACGTGTTTGCAAAACAAAATGATCTATGCATGATTCTTGGTAGCCGTGTCGTGTCAGCCGTATCGGATTTTGTGCACGAGTCAACGTGTCTGTTTCTGGCCTGTTCTAGTGGCAGGCGGCTGACTCCAAACATGCCTTGGAACCAGCTCATGGTGAAAACAACCCATTGTTGTTGAGTGAATCTCCCTCTCGACCTGTCTCTGGCTCACTGTAGATACAGAGAGAGAGAGAGAGGAAGAGCTTTGGAAGTCAAAAAGACTTGCCATTAGATTTACAGTAGATCCTTCCAGAGCTGTGAAATCTTAGCTTCAAATGAGCGAACGTCCTTTTTGATTAATCGGCGCTGCGTAGCAAAACAGCTTGGTGTGGCAGTGACTATGAAGAATCTGGTCACTGTGGCTGTCAGGTAAGACTAGGAACAAGAAGCTACTAGGGGCTCCTGGCATCGCTACTACGAACAAGAAGCTACTAGGGGCTCCTGGCCTTACTACTAAGAACAAGAAGCTACTACGGGCTCCTGGCATCGCTACTAGGAACAAGAAGCTGCTAGGGGCTCCTGGCCTTACTACTAGGAACAAGAAGAAGCTACTAAGGGCTCCTGGCATCGCTACTAGGAGCAAGGACGCTACTAGTAGCTCC